TTTACTGTGTTTCTACTAGTTTATTCATTCATTTATTATGTTTATTTCTTGCCTTTCCTCCAAAAGAAATCCAAGAACATTTATGCGAGACTCTTCATTTTGTCCACACAATAGCAGCCCTGTGTGGTAGATTGGGATGACTGACCGAAAGTCATCCTGTAACTTCCTTGGTTAAGGGGAGACTTGGGTCATACATTAATGACTGTACCACATTGGTTTTCAGACCTCCTATCCTATCTTCTCTCCCCCCCCATCCTGTGAGTCAGAGTGAAAGCAGAAGCTGGTGAATATTACATAGGGTGAAGCCAAGCAGAGCCAGAAGAGCTATTTAAAACTTATCTTGGTTTTGAAGTTCTCCTTGTCTTTTAAGCAGCCCCCTTTGCTCTGATCAAGATCTTGTGATATAAATTTCCTAAAGGGGAAAACCTGATAAATTGTTGACCTGTAATATTGGTCATTGTACTTTTTATAATGGGAAGAGTCATTTAACTCAATAAGAATAGAGCTGGAAGGGACCTTGGAGGTCTTCTAGTCCAACCCCCTGCTCAAGCAGGAGACCCTATACAATTTGAGACAGGTGGCTGCTCAGTCTCTTCTTAAAAACCTCCAGTGATGAAGCACATACAACTTCTGAAGGCAAGTTGTTCCACTTGCTAATTGTTCTCAGTGTTAGGAGGTTTCTCCTTAATTCCAGGTTACTTCTCTTCTTGATTAGTTCCAATCCATTGTTTCTTGTCTTGCCTTCTGGTGCTTTAGAAAATAAGTTGACCCCATCTTCTTTGTGGTAGCCCCTCAAATACTGGAATACTGCTATTATGTCACCCCTAGTCCTTTTGTCTTGACTAGACATACCCAGTTCTTCATATCTTTTAGTCTCCAGGCCTTTAATCATCTTAGTTGCTCTTCTCTGCACTTTTTCCAAAGTCTCAACATCTTTTTTGTAATGTCATACTAAGACTTTATAAAGTGGTAGTAATACTTCATGTGATATCAATTCTTTGCCTCTGTTTATACAACCAAGGATTCTATTAGCTTTTTTGGCTGCTGCCGCATACTCCTCTCTACTACAAACCATGCGACAATAAAAGAGCAATTGTGGTTGTAGCAGTGGAAGGAAAAAATATTTTTCCTGAAAATTTACTGGATTGTTAATTCTGATCATTTTAAAGATAATTTAAAGATGGATTTTAATATTGTTTTAAATTTTGTATTTTTTGTATTTTATCTGCTGGCTGTTCACCGCCCCGAGTCATTCAGGAGAAGGGCGGTATACAAATATAATAAACATAACATAACAAACATAACATAATCTGTCAGTATTAGTAGGGATTCAGCCAAACTCTGGATTTAGGGATGAAGCACTGTTCATTCTGTTAGCAATTGAAGCATTATTCTTTTATGGCTGATAGCTAATTTTGATTCACAATATAATTTTATAAACTGAAACAAAAACGAATGACAAATTATGAGAATGTGTGAGAAACAAGCAGAATTTTTACAAGAATGACATTTCCAGTCTGTATATCTCCTGCAGAGATTTTATTTTATATAAAAATAAAGGGAAACAGTTTTTTATATACCACTAAAATATCTATAAAGTATGCATAGAAATCTGGCAGATTTTTTTTTTAACATATCATGGTCTTTTGGCTGTTGTGTTTACTTTTTTCACTCCCTTGGAATTTTTGGATGTCTTTAGGTCCATGTATTTCTCCAAGTAAATATATATCTAATGAACATTACAGTAATCCATGAAAGTTTATGTTGCATCAAAAATGAAGGCAAATTAATTTTTCTTTCCTTTCAGTGCAATGAAGTGCACTGCTTTATGCTACTGCTTCATTAGCCGAAGTGGTTGATTTCTGGGTATAATTCAAGATGGTGGTTATTAAGGCCTTCATGGCATAGGGCGTGGCTGCTTGGAGGACAGCTTGTTTCCGAATGTTTCTACTTGTCAGGTAAGGTCAGGTTGAGTTGGCATGCTTTGGGTCCCATTGATTAAACAACAACATTTTCTAGAACCCAGAAAGCATGCCTTTTTTGATGTGGTGTCCTCTAGAATGACATTGTCCCAGGAGAGCCATATAATTCCCACCGCAATGACAATCAAGAAACTATTAAAAATGTGGTTGTTCTCCCAGCCTTGGGATAGGATGGTTGTGGAATTGCTATGGTTTTGATTCTTTTGGTATTGAGCTAACTTCCTGGTTGGTTGTGGTTTCTTCTATTTTCCCCCCCCCTCTTTTAATTGTAAGCTACCCAGAGTTGTTAATGTGTTGGATGGACTCCAAATCAAATGAAATAAAAAAAATAAATAAATACATAATAATAAAGTATTCTGAATCTCCTACCAGTTAGAGCCATTCCTGGATTAAGTTATCATGGGTGAGAAGAAAAAAGCTTTTTCTTCCATACTGCACAAAATGTTATGAGACATCTATCACGTCTCTCATTTTAATTGTTTTTTAAGCTGAAAAATCTCTCCGTAAGCCTTTTCTTAAGGGCTGCTACTCTTGCTTTGATTATTTGTGTAGCCCTTTTCCTCCATCTTTTCCAATTATGTATATAGCACCATTTTAAAGGACAATGATTAATACTATATACTGTGTAGAATTCAAAGAGTGATTATACTATAAGAGATTATAACATTGGACATTTTATACCCCTTGAAATTTGTCAACACAAAAGATTAGACACCGGTTTAGAATCTTGAGATGCTCTGGTTAAGGTAGTTTTTATTCCAGTCTTTTACATGTCTTAATTATTTTGAGGGACACTGGGTTGTAGAAAGAAGTTAATGGAAAAGATCAAAAGGTGTTATATAAGTGATATGGGATAGTTTTCTTTAGAATTTTATTATGCAGTAAAGCACATTTTCTTTTTCTCGCAATTTCTGTACAAGGGTTTTCGGCCTGTGAATATACCCTTTATCCTTTTTGCATGGTAGTTGCTATGTATTGCTTGTGTTATGACAGCAAGAAATATGACAGCTTAATCTGCCCTGATAGGGTTTGTAAGCTCTTCACACTCCATGACTGAAGAAGGCAGTTTGTGAAAGAGCTGAGGCACTTTAAGGACATCAGCTTCACCAGCAGAGTGTAAACTCTTGGATGCATATTTAGGAATCCAAATAAGCAGCTGCATTCATTCTTAGAAGTGTTGAACAGGTCTGAAAAATCCACGAGGAAGCTTATTCATTGTAGGAATTTTCTTACTACAAATTATGATTGTCACCCCTAAATCTTAAATCAGACTTCCCTGACCTGACATTCTCCAAACACTTTCTCAGGTCAGTACAAGGAACGGCTGTGGAGTTTGAGAGTAAGGGGGGATTTATAAACTGTTACATTAGTGAGCGTTGGTGCAGGAAAGCTTGGTGCAAGGTATATAAGATTTAGTATAAATAGAAAACTCATGAGATATACCCTGAATGGCAAGAAATCCATTCTGCTTACCCAGAATGTTAGAAATTAATGTTTGAATTATATGTATAGACATATGTGTAGAAAAAGCATGAGAAAGAGTGGTTTCTATCTCAAACACCATTTCTCCTGTGAACTTGCTAAGCCACTGAGTCTCATCCTCTATCACTCATTTATCACATGAGCATAATAATCTAGACTTTTTAAATGTTAAATTTAACTCTGAAGTATCCAATGATAGGCAAAACACTGACTGCAATATGAAGCAAATTATTAGGGAGGAGATAATCGGCAACTTGTTCTGTGTCATCTCTCTTTCTGGACTTTTTAAAAAGAATTTCCAAATATATATCTTATTCTTTTATCATGGGCCTCTAGAATTCTACTTATGTCACATGCCAGAGCTTTTGGTCACCTGCCGAGAGATGATACAGAAACAAGAAATGAATGAATAGGGTATTTTTTTTATATTCCCTACATGACAGATATTACTATAGAGGGAAGTAAGATTGTTACTTGACTTTGATCTGAAATTCTCCCCCGTCCTTTTAAAATGAAAGTAAGTGATTAAGGAGGGTTATAGTTTTGGGATTTTGGATTAGCCCCAGAGAATCAAAGGTTCAAATTCACTCTCAGTCACAGAAACTTCTTGAGTGGCTGGGCCACTCACTCTCTTCAAGCCCAGCCTACCTCACAAGATTATTGTTGGGAAAAAATGGAAGGAGGAAGTGCTATGTATATTGTCCTGAACTCTTTGACACAAGGCAAATATAAATCTAACAAATAAATACAATTTCTTACACAAGGAACAAAGATAACAAATGAAAAGTATATGTAATTAAAAAAGTAATTTTTTTTTAGAAAGTTATGCTATCATATAATAGGACCAATTTTTGGAAGAGAAATTTATATACATTATTTATATACATGTGCCCTTTCAAAGCAGTTTGTGGAGTCATTTTTGCACCAGCATTTGCACTTTTTAGATTTTTATGATCCTGCTTGTAACTCAAAAGGTACACACAGAAATGCATACTGTTTATGCACAAAACCTCCCATTAATATTAATGAATAATCACTTGCTTAAAGATTACAAATGCATTAAAAACAAATGCAAAAAACATATGATCAAGCATATGTACATATTTTTGTACATATTTCTATTTTGCCTTTTTCTCCTTAATTTGAAAACTGATGCAACGAAAGCTCAGGAAAGTGCGAAAAGGAACACAAGTGTTTTTGTATTTTAACATTTGGGAAATATTTGTGGAAACAAATTGTAATTTGTTGTGGGTAGTTTATATCAATTTCAAAAGCAAAAGCGTCCTTCAGCTTGCTAATTGAGAGTTCTGGGAATTGGAGATCTAAGAGCTGGGAAGTCTGAACTAGATGTAAAAAAAAGATATGCAAAATAACAGGTTGTAAGTCACTTATTCTACTAGACTGATTATAGAAGGTTCTTAATGTTGAGAGATTTGCTGCCATTAGACAAGTTTTAATCCCTTGTACAAGTGATCAAAAGCTAGCATTTAATGTTAAATCTATGAGCCTCAACCCTTTGTTTTCTTCTTAGGGCTTTAGGTATCCCTAACAAACTTTGACACATCCCAAATATCAGCCATGGCATCTCGCATTGGTTTGCGGATGCAGCTTATGCGAGAGCAAGTACAACAGGAGGAACAACGGGAGCGCATACAGCAGCAGACAATGATGCATTACATGCAGCAACAGCAACAAATGCCAATGGCTCCAACCCCAGCCATCAACACACCAGTTCATTTCCAATCACCACCATCTGTGCCAGGAGAAGTCTTAAAGGTACAGTCGTGTGAATAAAACTTTGGTAATGGAGAACGAGGGAGGCAAATAGGATATCTGTTTAAACTGTTATGTTGCAAGAAATGAATGGCTGGCTTGCTTGCCTGTTTATTTTTTATTTATTTATTACATTTATATGCCTCCCATCTCACTGTTGAGTGAGTTTACCAATATATCTGATATATCAATTGGAAAAATACATTGAAAAATCAGCAAGTCCCTTCATTTGAATTAGGCATTTGTGTATGTTTAAATGCTTCCAGGTGCAATTCAAGGTGCTGATAGTTACCTTAAAAGCTCTTCATGGCTATTTATGGGGCTATCTCTTCCTAATGGTGCCTAGCCAGCCTATTAGCTCCAACAGCAGAGGGATCTTCTGGGTCCCTGAGAATGACCTTTTGTGTCATAGTACCTGTCCTGGAACCACTCCATTCCAGAAATCAGACTTTGATTGAAGAAATGAAAATCTGGCATTGCCATCAGGTCTGGGGCTGTGATATTATGGATAACTCATTTTATGGAATCTTTTTTTAGTATGAACGCAGCCTATTTCTTTCTGAAGATGTATATATTTGAAAATTATGTTTACCTTTATATGATAGCTCTTCTATTTCTCCAATACTTTTTAGGTTCAGTCCTTCTTAGAGAATCCTACCACGTACCATATCCAAAGGTCACGAGACAAGAAGGTCCAAGAATATCTGTCTGAAACTTACGGGAACAAGTTTGCACCGCTACTTGGTGCTCCTTCTCCCAAGCCGCCTCCTTCAGCCTCCCCTGGGGTGAGACCATGCCATGCCATGCCCTCTTCTGCAGGCAACAGCACTCCAAACAGTCCAATGGCAATGCTTAATATCAGCTCCAATCCAGAGAGAGAGGTTTGTAAATTCTTTGGGGACACAGGAATTGTTGAAGAGGCTGGGTTAAAACTGTGGTTAGGAAGCACTCAAGTTCTTTACCCTCATCCTGTAATCTGAAGTGGAAAAGTCCAGCTGTAATTCAACCTCATGATTCTTTGATTATGTAACTTGGGGGCGGGCTACACAATGAAAGGTGGTGTTTTGCATCACACTTCTGTTGCAGGAAACTATCAGAGAGAACTTGGAGTTTGGGTGATTCAGCTGAAGCCTTAGTCAGATAAAGTTGCTCAAGCAACAACAAATCCATTCTGATTTGGACTCTGACTTAGCAAGTCCATCAGAGACGCTTGGGGTCGGTTCTTAGGGGTGAGCAGCCCTGAGTCAGTTGGAATCAAGTGTCATCTATTCAAATCAATCAATCAATCAATCAATCAATCTTACATTTCCTTGACTGTAAATTTATATACATTTTTGAAACCCCCCTCAAAATGCATTAAAAAATCTATGTCTAATAGCCTTTTTGTCCCTATTTTAGATAGATGATGTCATTGAAGATATCATGCAGCTGACAACTACTGTGGGGTGTCTTAATCCAGAAATTCATATGCCCAATACTGTGAGTATGCCTTTAAAAAAAATGTGTTTCTAGGCAAAGAATGGTCGTGGGAGAAGGAATAAAACAGCTGACATAAAGTGGTTGCATCTATCCTTCCTTTCTTTCCAAATAATTAATTTGGAAATAAAACACTGTTTTATAGGAGACCAATAGTAATATTTATGAATGCAAGCATTTTAAAATAGTAAAACCTATTTTCATAACATTGTTAGATGACACACATACGGTGTAAATATTTGAGCCACCTGCATATAATGAATGGGAGATACATGGCTGGGAAGAGCGGTGAAGTGCTAAAAGCCACAGGATATTCCTGTCCTCTATTGGCCGATACTTTCTTATCCTCTATTTTCTGTGTTAAAATAAATGTGCATTTGTCTCCCTTCCTTTGTTTTCCAGTTGCCTCTGTCCAGCAGCCATATGAACGTCTATAACAGTGACCTCCAGATGACTCCTTCTGTGGTGGGCATTACCAGCAGCTCCTGCCCTGCTGATCTCACTCAAAAGAGAGAGCTTACAGGTAATATGGCAGGTTGTGTGCCCAGAGTGCATATGTCCAAATGGTCAGGGCAATTTTTAGTGCTTGCTTGGCCTCAGACTGTAGGTCAGCAACAAATCTATTTATACACATGCATGTATGTGTTTATAAAATGAAACTTGTTCTGGTTGGCCCACTGCTTTTCATAACAGCTTGTTGTGTTATCTTTAGATGCCGAGAGCCGTGCCTTGGCTAAGGAACGCCAGAAGAAGGACAATCATAATCTAAGTAAGCAGAGGCTGCTTAAAACCATGTGGCTGAAATGCATTCTGCTATATCTCATTAGCCCTTTTGTTGATCTAATTTGTGGTCAGTGATTTAGAAACAGTATTTTTATGCACAAGCATGTGTGTGCTCCATTTATTATTCTGATGCAGAGAATGTAAAGAGATCAGCTACAGTCAATGGTCATTGAAATGCCTGTGAAGCTGATTTACTACCCTCTGCAAACCATGTTTTCATACAACTGATTTTATCATTTGTTTTGCTTCACTATCTGATTGATTCATAAATTTCTCCCCCCCCCTTAAAATGTCCTTTTTGGTTTTGTTTTCCTTCAAGGGAGGGGAGGGGTTTTTATGTAATATATCAATTCATGTAATTGTACTGCCTTGGTCAGGAAAAATGCAGTCACATATAGTTTTATTAAATTTAATTTTAAAAACCATCCTCTTGTTGGAGGATAATATGATTACAAATGGTTGAAAATTGTAAAAAATAAAACAATACTGTAGTATATTGCTGCCCTTGGATTAAATGAAGAACCCTTCCTTTCTTTTCTGGGCATGTGTGGGGAAGTGACCTAACCTCTGATGAGATTCCTTATTATATTACTGGCTGGTAATAAGAAGATTACAGCAAAAATCCAACTTTGTTTTTCTTTAGAAGAAAAATCTCTTGCTGTTTATTACGACGCTTTTGTAATATTTGGTATTTACAAAATTAGCAGCAGAGCAAAAATGAGCACAATTAGCATAGACATTCTAGTCAGAATTCAGATAAATTATTTTATGCACATATCCAGAAATTACATATCTCAAGGTACTTCCATTCTTTTTGCTAATACTTGACCTCCCCCTACCCCATTCACTTGTGCTCCCCTATTATATCAAAACCCTTTCTTTTTGTACTGGAGTTCATGTACTACATCCTTGTTGTACTTACACACACAAACGTGCGGATCTCACCCAAATGAGCACATAGGGTGCACCCTAATGAGTATTAGAACCAAAGACGGGTGAAATCCAAAATTTTTCCCTACCGGTTCTGTGGGCGTGGCAGGGGAAGGATACTGCAAAATCTCCATTCCCACCCCACTCCAGGGGAAGGATACTGCAAAATCTCCATTCACTTCCCTCCTGGGGGAAGGATATTGCAAAATCTCCATTCCCACCTCACTCCAGGGCCAGCCAGAGGTGGTATTTGCCGGTTCTCTGAACTACTCAAAATTTCCGCTACCAGTTCTCCAGAACGTGTTAGAACCTGCTGGATTTCACCCCTGACCAAAGAGTATTTCAGTTCCGTTACTCAGATGATTCAGTATGCTACTTGTTTCTTTTTAAGGTTTTGTTTGTTTTCTCTTTAATTAGATTAACATTTTGATTAAAAGAGACATTTGTTTTTAACATTTTTGTGTTTTAACGTTTTGTGTTTTGTGTTTAACATTTTATTTTTAAAAGTCTAATTGAACAGAGAACTCAGGATGGATAGCTAGAAATCAGTTAGCACAAGGTGTTGATACATCTTTAGTTCTTTTACAGATGTTTGCAGTCATATTGCAGAGCCTGACTATCCCAAAGTAGTGTGAGGTTGACATTCCTGAGGTTTAATGCTATGTTGCGGGAACATGGTGGAAATGACCTCACTTAAGCATGACTTTTATTAGAAAACTATTGAAAGATAGATTTGAGTTGATCCTTAATGCTAAACATGTCTTGAAGAACACGATGCTGGCATCACTCAGAAGCTTTCATTATATTTAAATATAGTATCAATAATCTAAGTTGTTTGTAAATGGTCATTTACCTTTGACAATTTAATCATAAAAATATATAGTTATTTCTGCATATTGTTAGAAGGATATACTTAATGTTTTTATCTGAGTGTGTAAATTATTCTTAATGCTAAGTTTTTAAAACCACAACATGAATCATTTAAAAAGAGAATCCTGTATTAGAATATACAGAAAATGTGTCATTTGGAATGATGTCTATCATAAAACATCATATATATATTGTATGTATTCCGGTATCTACTCAGAAGTTCAATCAACTCTGATAACTGAAATACAAAGGAAAATACATGAAATCATTAAACACAATGGTTTATCAAAAAACTCAATGTATCAATGGTTGGTATCATAAAACTAAGGAAAAAGACTGAAAACAGAGATGGACAACAGAATGTAGTGTGCATATTAATTTTTAAATACTTCTTGAATCAAGGCAGAAAGGAAGCAGACTGTTGGAATGGAGAGGGATCTTCAACTTTTGATTATATATTGCTCAAAAGGCCAGAGAATTTTGGGAGAAATTTAAAACAAAGAGGTTCAAAATGAAATTATGGAGAAAACTGATTTAAAAAGTGATATATGTGTGTGAAAAATGGAATGGAATGGAATGGAATGGAATGGAATGGAATGGAATAGAATAGAATAGAATAGAATAGAATAGAATAGAATAGAATAGAATTCTTTATTGGCCAAGTGTGACTGGACACAAAGAATTTGTCTTTGGTGCAAAAAATAAAAATGAAAATGAAAAAGTGGTTGCTACAGGCACAGACTTTTCTAAGTTATTTGATTAATCATTATTTATTTTACCTTCTTTATACTTGTTTTTGATGAACAAAGTTGATATTTTTTATAATGTTTAATATCTTATATAGGATTTTTTTCTCTCTTTCTGTTCTAAGTTGAAAGAAGACGAAGATTCAACATTAACGATCGTATTAAGGAATTAGGGATGCTGATTCCAAAAGCTAGTGATCTGTAAGTTCTAGTCAATGGTTCGTATTTTCCTGTTGCCTCTTAAAGACAGACAAGAGTCCAAATTGAGAAATAGGCAACCAGAGTAAAAGTTGGATGAGAAATTATTTCTCATGTCTGCTGTGTTGAAAACTATATTTTATTTCTGCCTTTAAAAAAATCCACACAAAACATCTTTAAATTTCAAATGAAAAATTCTCCAAATCAAATCCCTGCCTTTTTATTGTCCCTGTCAATACCTCTGGGGGATAATATAAGTGGGAAGGCTGACCTTCTACCCTGCATCTACTCTTTCTTCCAGGAAAAAAAATCCCTGCAGCACCCTGTTTCTAAAGCTATTTTACACCAGTAGGCTCTGTACCGATTAACTGCAGTTGGAGAGAAACAAAATGCAAAAGAAAAGCCATTTTGAAGGAAACCACAGATATGGCTAATCTGTTTTTCCCTCATGCCTGCACACCCTGTGATTTGAATCCCCCCCCCATTTTGTAGTGAGGTATAAGCCTTTGCACTGAGCATAGATAGAATGAGTTCTGAGTAACAATGCTGTAAAATGCCAAAATAGCACCAAGGGAGCAAGGGTGTATAAGAATAGCATCAGAAAGGAGCTCCAGTGTTGTGCTCCCTTAAATAGCCATTGGCTGAGTGAGGAGTGAAAGCTGCTCCTTCATACTTCACACACCAGAGCTCTTTGCTATGGAAAGCTTATAAACAAACTAACACAACAGGCTACATTCAGATTTCAACAAGAGGGTTCGGTTGAAAATAGCATGTGATCAAGATGACACCTCATATGAATTTTAGATAAAAGGAACATTAGTCCTCCTCCACATACATAAGTCCTATCATGTATTATCTGTATGAAACAACTTCTGTTTAATTTCTTCAGTGTAATATTATACTCAAAATTTAATCTTTGAAATTTATGTGCTTCTCTGAATGGGATTTATTTATCTGTCAGGACTGACTTTTGAAAACAGACCATCAAGCTTTAGTAGGCAGTTGCAATGGCTATGTTTAGATTTTTAAATATGTATAAAACAAAGGACTGATTGCTTCAGTGAAGTAAACCACCTAATTTTTCACAATTTATGTGACATGACCCTGCTTTAGTCTGGATAGATTGTGGCTGCCATTTGCCAACCCTAATGTTTGTAGCCAGAATGAGGAACTGTGATTGCCAAAACGCACACTGGTTGGGAACCCTGGAGTTGTAATCCCAAAACATCTGGAGAGGCTGGGTGAGGAAAGAGTGTTTCTGAGCAAGGACCTGATAGCCAGAGAAGAGTTGAATCTGTACTAATTGATAATGTTGGAAAAGACATTTAAAAATTATCTGGCACTCTAGAAAAAGAAAGCCATGTTGAAATAGAAAAATAATGTAGTCAATAATGCTATGGCAAAACTTGCAGGTGGTACACACCACTGATTGTGAATGAATGAATGAATTTTAAAAATGCTAAAATCTTGCAAGACTGCCATATTTTACAAAATATCTAGCTACAACAGGCAATTTTAAATATATATATATTGATTTTAGCTTTCATGAGTGCTGTCTAGTTGCTTTGTGCATATCATGAGAGACGTAGATGCTTTAGCCCTTCAGTGTGTTCTGACGGAGAAAAAAATTGTTCTGTGATTCAAATAAACATGCAATATGGCTGGTTATTGGCACAGCTTAATTTCTTCTGGAAATGTTAGTGCTATGAACATTGTTTATTGGTTCCTATGAGTTCCATATGACATCTCCAAACTGTATTACAATTGGATACATTTTTTGGTACCAATCTTGCTTTGTTTTCTGAGAGATTGCTTCATCTACCCAAGCTGATAAAGCAGCTTAAAAGTCCAGCAATTGGGGAGCTGGCATATCTGATCTAGAGAAGTCAAATCATTTGGCCATAGAAAGTGTAATAAATTCTATATAGCGTCTTGAACTACTGGCTGCTTTGTCCATTTGTTTGAAAATCTCAAACAAAAAATTAAACAGATTATGAGCAAGAGTTTTTCTAACTCTGGAAGTAATCTTTTGGCATGGCAACAGTTTTTTCTTATGCTTTATTCCAGAGATGTGCGCTGGAACAAAGGGACAATCCTGAAAGCCTCTGTTGATTACATCAGAAGGATGCAGAAAGATTTGCAGAGATCACGAGATCTTGAGAATCATTCTCGACGTCTGGAAATGGCTAACAAGCAGCTTTGGCTTCGTATACAGGTAAATCCCATGTCTTGTACTTTTTACTACCTGCAGTATTTTTATGTGTTTGTAGAAACTGCTTTCTTTAATTATCTCACTGAAAATAGATTAGCTTAATTCTACTATTTGAAAGTCTTGCTTCATGTTGTCATGCTAGGGAAAAACATAGAAGAGATTCAAAACATGGGCTACAAAGCCCATTCTTACAGTAATAGTCATTTCTGTGTGCTCACTGATGGAATCCAGTGATTGCGCGAAAGTCATACCATGTGTTCTTTTTCAATCCAACACTGCTCTCACATGGCGATGTGGCATCCAAGATAGTTTTATTGAAAAATAATTTATGGAAATGCTTCATTTTCTTTTTCTATCCTGAACTTCAGGGGTGGGCAGACTCTGGGCTATACATGGTTCCAAGTGCCCTATTTTCAGTTCCCTAGCATCTGATTTTGCTGCTAAAAAGTATGAGCGTTTTTGTTTTGTTTTCAAAAATAAAAGTGGAAATAAAAGTGAGATGATCTGGAAGACAAATTTCTTTCAGCATACCCACTCCAAATAGTTTGAAATTGCACTGTTAAACTGTGCCTCTTTGATCATCAAATGGGTGGAGATTGTGTGGAAGACTGCATAACTGAATGGAAGACTGGAAATGGGACAATTCGCCACTCAGGGTTAATATTAAAAATTAAGGAAAACACCAAAAAAATGGTTGATAAGTATATCAGCTATTCCAGTTTTGGTGCTTTCACCTGTTGAGAAATTAGTTATGGTTTCTGAATTTAGAAAGTTGCCTATCCATGTTTTACTCCACTTGGTGCAGGAAAGCACTTAAAATGAATACTTAGAGCATTTATAAATCCAAATGCAAAACAAAACCAGTAAGGAAGAGAGCATGGCTTCTGAATTTTCTTCCTAGCTCCTTCCCAGAACCTTCACTCTAGTTCAGGTGATCAGAAGGGAGGGAGACTTAAAAATGGAAAAGTTGGCAACATTCTTGATTACTGTCCAACTGTCTCTTCCATAAGGAAGCACTGGGGGTTTTCTTTGGATTTTCCCTCCTCTACAACTATAATCTAGATCTTGATGTTTTGAATTTAGTCTTTCTTCTTTCAGCTTCTCTCTGTCTACTGAATTTGATCTTGTCCCATTCTGGTTTTGGAGAATTATCCTGCTGACAAACTGAGTCTTAGACCCTTTACATAAATTCTTTTCAATTTTTTGTTAGACTGGAAAAATAAAATGGAAAATGGAAAAACTAATGTAGCTGTATGTATTGTAAAATTTGCATTTGCCATATGGAGGTAAAGACTGTTGTTTATTGATCAGACTATACTTACCCAGTGTAGAAGGTTCCCAAGCATCAATCATAGCATTATTATTTATTGCACACTGTTGTGTATTCACGGTAGAACAGAGCAGGGGTGTGATGGTGGCTGTGATTATACATCCTATGTTTTTCTTTTGTAAGATTCATTATTTTGGTGCTTTGTCCTCAAGGAACTGGAGATGCAAGCTCGAGTCCATGGGTTACCAACCACTTCACCTTCTGGCACAAACATGGCTGAACTAGCTCAGCATATTGTGAAGCAAGAAACTTCTGGAGAGGAGGGGACAGCAGATCTCTTACAGCAACCACAACTCCAAGCTGAACAGGAAGCTCAGCACCTGCCTCACTTTGCTCCTCCTCCTCCTCAGTCTCCTTATCATCAGCTGGACTTTACCCATAGCCTGAGCTTTGACGACAGTTGTAGAGGTTTCCATGACCCGCTGGACCCTAGCCAAAATGTCTCTTTCCCCTCCTTGTCCAAGAAGGAGTTAGACTTGATGCTAATGGAGGATACTATGCTTCCTGTGGCTTCTGACCCCCTGTTTTCCACTGTGTCCCCAGAGGCTTCAAAGGCTAGCAGTCGGAGAAGCAGCTTCAGCATGGAAGACACTGATATGCTGTGACAGAAGCCCTCCAGGCATATTAGGAATTCAAAATTGTTTATTTGTGAAGTGAAAATTCTTCATTTGACTTACCTGTTTAGAATTCCTCAAAGACTTATGAGGCTAATAAGAAATGGATCCTGAATCAGAAATGGTTTGGTGGGAACGGGAGAACCCTTAGCACAAAGGTTTGTCCATAGTTCTTGAAATGTTAATCCCTCACTTTCTCCTCTGGCTTGATTTGCCAAAAGTGAACAATCTGTCCTCATCTTCCATAACTGCACGATGAATATGGTCAGTCTGATTCCTGCAGGCCTCTCCTGTGCCCTGTGCTCTTCATACTCCAGCCCCACAAAGCCAGTTAGAACATTTTCACAACAATATGATTATGAACCACTCTGGACATCCAGGTAGCTGTGCGCCCTTTTTGACAAGCAGCTTTAATCAAGATTTGGTATTTGAATGTCCAATAAATAACTTAAGGTCAACTGCGTCTGTTCCCACCTTTTGATCTATTATCAACCGGCCAGTGGGAATGTCTTCTTCAGGTGTACTTTCATACTGGAGTTCTTTTTTGTATTGAACAGGAACACTCAATATGTTCTTTAATGGGATGGGGGATGTCACTAGTTAACTCTGAGTAATGATGGATGGTGATTTTTAATCCTTTGAGAAAGGAAGACTGTAATAACATTCACAGAACATTTTTAATGTTTTCAGTTTCAATTAAGGCTGGGATACAACAGCTTTAATTAATGACTTGCACTTTGTTAGACCTTGATAGTTTTTACCTAAATTTTGGCTTGGGCCTCTCCACTGCTTTTCTGAATCTTTTTTGGTTATCAATCCTTGACAGTTTAATGGCCATACAGGAATAGAAATGTATGAGCATCTGGATGACTGCCACCAGTCATCCATGAGACTGGGCAAATTGTTTTGCTAATTTGAACTAGATTTTACTTCTCTTTTTGTTGGTTTTTGCATTTGAGTGGAAGAAGTGGGTGGTCTGATAGGTTGGTAGTGTTTTTGTGTTTGAGAAGTATCAAGTGATATTATTTGATTTATACTAAGCTTGTTAGTCTATTCTGTTCCTCTTAAGCTTCCAGCTTGTATGATTTAGAGTCTTATTATTTTGTTTCTGAATTTAGGGCTATGGAGAAACATAGATGAATGTATACTTTAAGTCTAAAGTCCACTTAATATAATTATTTAAAGTAGAGCAGCCATAGCTCAGTAGTAAAACACAAAGGATGCATGCATAAGAGTCTAGGTTTCATTACCACTATTTCCAAATAAATTTATCTTGTAATAGGACTGGAGATCCAGTATAAATCAAAGCAGGTGAGACCTAGGCCACATCCACACCGCTGCTTTGCCCTTTCATTTGTAGCAAAGCCAGCAGTAAATCTTGCTGCCTTAATTCTTGCTGTCCCCACAGCATACCTTTATACTGCATACAGAACAGTTCTGTGCTGCAGTGCTGAAATACATCAGTTTGTTCTAAAGACTGTGATCAATGGCTCTTGATATTCCAGCCCTGACCATTTTCATCAAATGAGAAACACCCTTCACTTGGCATGCCCAATATTCTGATTACTCCATGTGCTGATTTCCAACCCCCCCTTTTCTTTTTCACCACACTCTTGACTGAATGAACATTTCTATATTTCTTGAAATTATGGATGGATGGTTCGACTATCAACCACTAGATGACAATAGTAAAGAATTTTTGTATTGCTTGGCTGCCATTGAGTGATTGCCCAGATTGTGCAACTATTGGGCCAATGCTGTTGAAACCTTAAAGTTTGAGTAAGGTATTTTGTTATAGGGATTGGTATAGGAGTTGCATACTATCTAACTAATTATGTTAGAAGCCAGGTCTCCTAAGACCAAAAATCACTGGAAACAGAATTCCTTCCGAGGCAGGCAGCCTATAGAAATACAAGTAGAGGATCATTTCAGTTGCACTTCTAAGATGTCGTGTGTATCATGTATACTTTCACATAGTATTCAGAAGCAGAATAGAATGGAGAACATAATCTTCAGAATGGAGTAGCTAAAGTCATCTTCAGATTGCCTCACCTTCAGGTGAACAGTGAGACCCAGATAGTGACATATGTACTATGGGCTTTAGGCTAAGGCCAAGTAGGCACTGGCCAAGGATGGGCTATGGGCTTTAGGCTAAGGCCAAGTAGGCACTGGCCAAGGATGCCAAAGCTTAGGAGACACCAATATTATCCCTCCTTCCCGGTTACCCTGAAAATGCAAATCTTTGTGTTAATAGCAGGAGATACCATCCATCAATGCAATCTTGGGGTACTATATACCCTTGAGCTAGACTGTTGGCATGATTAGTGAGCTACCTGTAGAGGCCACAGGGAATGTAGAGGTGTTGAAGGAAAGGAGGAAGGAAGAACTGCTGCAAAGGTAAGTGGGGCTTGAGCTTGGGCTAAGAAATCTTGAGAAAGTATCTTAGACAAGACCCACATTAGTTCACCTGAAGATAAAGTGAGGGAGAGGAAACACATTCAGACTTGCAAGATTCCGTTATAAAAGGTCTGGCAATAAAAATAGTCCTGACCTATATTTCTTTGGTTTCTTAGATTGGTATCCCTTATTGGGCTAATGCTATGCTTGCACCCAAACAAGATACTATATGGATTTGTTCCTAGAAAAACTCCTAGTCTAACAATCTCAGTGTATTCTGTCTCCTAGAATGTGATATTTGTAGCTTTTTAGTATACTTTTTGCTATCAAAAATTTCTCACTGACTTTTTTTTAAAAGTCATTATTGCAACTGTAGCAGTTCTTTTGTTTCTTAATAGCGAGGATGTGTTGATCTGCATTTAATAGAAATAAAGAGAGTGGATACTTTGATTCAAGAAGGAACAGTATGATAGGAAAACCAAGTTTCTTTCTTTTAAAGACTTTTAATATTATTATTATGGTTGGTCACACAGCCAGATATATACACTGGATTTGGCATTTTTATCCAACTATTCAGTTTATTATTATTTTATTCTTTGGAATTTGTACAGTCCCTGCTCTGTATCTCCAACATGTGCATTCTCATCTAAATATATATCTCTAGTTTTTAGGGATGGATGGAGAGCTAGATATTTAGATAAATACATAAGTGCAGCAGAAAAATTATATAGCCTCCAAAGAAATGAAAACATTATCTTCATCTTGCAAATTAACCAAATTCTATCAGCTAGGAAAAGACACTGCAGAATCAATTGTCACTAATTGCATTGTAAATAAAATCTAATATATGCTTGTTTGGTGGTTGCAAGCAGCTTTCATATAGCAGTCACAAACACTGACACTGACAGGATGGAAATTCAAATGTAGTGTTAGAAAGTAGTCATAGAAAGAGTAGTGGAAGCTTGGAACCAACTTCCAGTGGAGGTAGTGGGTCAGTTATCAGTAGCTGATTTTAAACATGGTTGGGATAAACACATGTCCATCATCTGACAAAAATAAAAAAAGGGCAGACTCGATGGACCACGAGGTCTTTCTCTGCCATCAGTTTTCTATGTTTTAACACATTACATGCAGGTCAGGGAGATTAGAGAAGAGAGCCTATCATTTCAATTGAGGAATACCTGCTGAATTTTGCCAATAACATAATTTAAGAGAGGGCTTGATGACCCATATGACTAGAATATTTTCAGTTCTATGGGTTTGGATAGTATCAGTGATAATTTTGCATTAAAATATCTGTGTTGTGAAAATATTTAAGCCTTTTATGCCAAAGCATTTTCTATAAAGCTATGCAAGATTGCCATTTGCTCTGTTATTTCTTTTCTAATGTACTTTTAGTTTTAACCCAGAATACTTAAGGCTAGGAAGCCCATGTTTCTTTGTGGCCATATATGAAATACGCCTTCATGTGATGTTTCAGAATCTTTGGTAACTGAGAAAGCAATGAATGGGATACACGTAGAAGTCCAGAGACTTTGATCAACAGATTTTAGATAAGGTACAACTTTACTCTGTGGAGGAATTTTCCTTTGGTATATTGTGGCAGTCATGCAACCTTCCTCAGTATGATGTCTTCAGGTTATGCTAAGTTAAGAAATCCTTCAATTCTCATCCAGTATGACTACAGCAAGCAGTTGGAGAAGCTTGCATACGTATTATAGGCATCTCTTGCCAGCATATTCCTCTCTATACCTCATTGTTATTTTCTATTTTAGTATATTTTTCTTCCTTAAGGTCTGCACATACATTTGCAGCCACCCCATCTTCTAAAAAGCATTTTAGTTACTCTACACAATAAGACTGTTTCTTACTGTATAGCACCAAGAACTCCACAGGACTACTACCTCCCCTTTCTATTAAGGAAGACTTTAGGAAGGAGTTTAGAGGTTGGACTGGTGATGATTTTAGTCATATATGAAGATACTTATTCAGTCATGTGGCACCAAATCCAATTTGATTTTAGATTGTTTTGCGCCATGATATCAGTGGTGGCATAATTGGAAGTTCATTACTGTATAAGGAAATATCAGAATCAAAATAACAGAGATGGAAGGGACCATTGAGATTTCTAGCCCAACCCACTGTTCAAGCAGGAGATTCTATACCATTTCGGTCTCTTCTTGAAAACTTCCAGTGATAGAGTATTATATTTATATATGTATTTTATCATTCATGGAATCATAAAAAAAAGGATAATAGATGGCATTCTAGGCTGTCAGTACCAGGATCTCCATGTTCCATTGTGTGCTAACAGAAACAGGTATTTAAAAGTATATCTCATAGAAATTCTGCTATACATTTATATGAAGTGCCCATGGAAGGATTATGGTCATTCTATAAATTCACTGTAGATCCTTTGAGAGGCTGCGTTTGTGTAGTCTTGAGCTAGAGAGGAAATAGACAAATAGCGCCATTTTTATAACAAAATGTATGGCAAATTGGATGGATCTGTTTAGTGCTTATGTACAGTGTAGGACATCCTTGGAACCTTGTGCCCACTGCCTATGAAAGTAAATTAATTTATGTAGGATAACAGAAGTTTAGAATTAGTGTTATGTAATCACCTAATGCATATTTCAGTCACTTCAATCATCATAAACAACACCGAATGTGTGAATTTGTACTAGAATATTTTTTCATACAAGGAATGTACTAAAAGATATATTGCTGTACTTCTAATTCATATCAGACAGTATTTCTTTAAAAAAAAAACTGAATAAGAAAAATGAATAATTCATTGAAAGTGGTTTGGGATTTCTGCAAATATTTCATGATGCATTGGGTCATCCTTTCAGAGATGCTTGTTTACCTAAACAGAGAAACAGTATGACCACGGATGGGCAGAAAAGCAGAGGAAACGGGAGAGATTTCCAACTTCCTGCCAGTTTCTCCACTGATGTTGTGAGAAGCTGGAAATCACTTCTCCTTCTCCTTGGCTGACCCTCAGAATTGCCTGCCACTTTGTGGGGGGGGAGGGGAAGGGGTAACAAAAGGAGATTCAGACCATGAGGAAACCTGCATCTCTGCTCCCCATCCCAGCACATCCCCAAGGGTTCCCTCCCTCCAGAGAGGAAGAGGGCTTCCCTTTTGATCGTCAGTGTCTCCCAGTCAGCCCTATCTTGCCAGCAGCATCTAAATCAGGGGTCTCTGACGGTGGCAACTTTAAGGCTGGAGGACTTCAACTCCCAGAATTCCCCAGAATTCTGGGAGTTGAAGTCCACCAGGCTTAAAGTTGCCATGGTTGGAGACCTCTGATCTAAATCACTCCCTCCTCCTTCCCTTGCTGCCAACTCCTATTAAGAAATTTCAAAGTTTAGCCTGGGTTCCAAAGCAGCCAATTGCCACTTGCCTGTTGGTCCTTGCTACCAGCTAACTGGGTGCAGGGACTAGAGGGAGGTGGGAAAGAGGGTGGGGATCCAGCCCTCTCAACTTCCCTTTTGCCATACACTTTACAAGTTTCTCCTAAGTGTGATCAGAAGGATAGTGGCACTGAAGTAGCCACAAGTCCCCCCCCCCCAAATTTCATTCCGACAGTAGTCATGAGTCCTGGCATTCTGTAAATTAACCCATTTGAATTACCTTGGTTCAATAATTGTGGCCCTATATCTCCCAATTTTGCCCAATTGGAAGTTACATACAAACAGACACACGAGTTTTAGTAGTACATAGACATGAGGTGCTTCTTCAGATACATTATGTAATTATGTAGACATGTATTGTGCAGTATGTATCATTGATTTCCAAGATTTGTTGTTCAGAAAGCCTTAAAACACTTGTTTTCCTCAGGATTAAAAACTGTTTGTAACTCCTCCATGTACAAGTCATAAAAGTGATATAATTTGTGAAAGAAAACATTGAAACCTAGGTCAAAGATTTGTATGTTCTCTTCCCATAGCACTAAGCTAGCATGCACCATAAGGAAGTATATACTTTGAGTATATACTGTTGTTGTGTTAGAAATCACAAGGGTTTAATATAAATGGATGACATGCATATTGTGTGCAGATCCTAACTGGAGTGGGGAGAATATTTTTCACTTTGAGAACTGGGAGGCGGGGAATCCTTATATGAGAATTAATCATACTTTTTATCATTGTTAAAAAAAAAGTTACTTTAAGAAAAAGGAAAAGAAAAATGCACTGTGCTCTGATTCTGAAATCTTACTACTGTTTTATAAATAAATGTTTAAAGTAATGGACTGGAACAGAGGGGAAACAATCATTAAATTTATTTATTTAATATCAGTTGATATATTATTTGCCTGTTTTGGAGTTGGAAGAGCTCATTAATGCATTAATACCACTTCTGTTATAAATTTGCTTCTTAACCTAACCCTAACCACTGAAAAATAATGCCCCATGTGGTGTGAGGAAAATGGTACCTTTTGTAAACATATCTTTCCAATGATTTCGGTTTTCTTTACTTGTCATAAAAATAACGTGGAAGAGAAAAATGGTATTATTTGTAATAAACCCTGAAAAGAACTATATTGTTATCCCTAAATGCTGCTATTTTAGGAAAAAGCAATACTTGAACAATGAGCTCATTTTGGCCAGAGAAAAGATATGAGAACCACTCTGTTGTTTGAAAGTATAGAATGTTCCAATTACAGCAAGCATCTTTTGTTTTAAAATACTGTACTTCTCCTGATTTTTTTTGACACTTATCAAACTACATACTTTACCTAATGAAAAAAAAAACATACAAATATCCTGATCTACTTTCAGTATTTTTCAATTGAAAAATATTTCAACATTATATAAACCCTAAGGGGAAGGGTAGATTAGATTGTGGTTCAAAGATTTAGGATAAATGTATCATTTTCAATTTTAGATTTAATCACATCCTATTGCTGTACATGTGTATCTCTTTGTCTCCTCAAAGTCAAACTCAAGGAGACAATAATTAAGATGGTCTTCTTACATTAAGTGGCAAAGTGAGAATAATTTTAAAAAACTAAAGCAAGAGAAAAAAAGCCCTTTATACCTGTAACTGTTATAGTGGTTAAAAATTGGGCTTGGTTTAGGGCAGGGGTGTCAAACTCAAGACTTGCGGGCCAGATTCGCCCCACAGGGTGCTTAGATCTGACCTGTGTGGCCAGCCTGGAAATAGCAAAGGACTGCCCTGCGGTGCCTCTACTGGCCAAACCAGGGCACTGGGGGGGGCTGTCCCCCCATGCCCTGTTTTGGCCAGCAGAATGTGCAGGAGGCCATCTGTCCCAGTTGGCCCATGGAGGACAACTACAATGCTGATCCGGCCCTCAAATAAATCCAGTTTGACATCCCTGGTTTAGGGGAACCCTGATTCAAATGCAGCCATAACCATGAAAAGTAGATGACTTTGAACTCATCACTCTCTTAGCCCAATCTCAAAGGGTGGGTGCTGCAGAGATAAATAAAAACCTTCACTTCAAATCTAACAAATGAAAAAAAAAACTTGGTAAATCTACCTTGAGTCACCTTTCAAATGGTAGCTGTGCTGGGAGTTCCCCTCTTTCCATTTTCCAGGACCACCAACTGATCAGACTGATTCAGCTCACTGTTAATAGCAGCTGGAAACCAATGACCTGCAATGAACATTCAGGGAGAAGAAGAACCTCCAGATGTTCTTCTGTTGATCTAGCCTACAATACTGAGCAAAATGCTTGTGGTTTCCCTCCCAATATTTGGCTTATAATTGATGGAATAGCAGGAAGCAAGCAATTGACAAAGGTTCTCCTCAAGGAAGAGGAGGGGAAAGAAGAGGGAGGGGTATTTGACCATGCAGTATATGAATACAGGACAGGTGTGTCCAGCTTCCCTCTGTCACACCTGTATTTCTGAACCACAAATCTTATTTAACTCTATGATTAAAAGCTCCCAAAATATCTTCTTTATATTGAGTGAATGTGCCTTAAAATGGCAAATGCAGTTCAGTGCAAGGAAATACAAACAAATGCTTATTTGTGCATGCAAATAAGAAAGAAATCATTAGAAAGGGAATTACAAATCAACAGTCAATATAGAATTACTCTTACATAATTATGTGGGATTGCTTTGAAAGTGCTGTTTACAGTGTTGCTCATCAAGTGCTGCATCAAAAAGATGCATAATATGCCCTACATAATAAGCCAAAATGATTAGGGTACTAAAGCAGCTGCTCCATAAAGAAAGACAACATCACCTGGGAATTTTGAGCTTGAAATGAAGATGGACAAAATGTAATAAGATTGAGGTATAGGGTATAAGGGAATTTTATGTACAGAGAAGTTTTAAAACTTAGATCTAGATACAAGAAGTTACACCAGTACCTATTGAAACTAAATGGAGAAATTCAGAACTGATAAAAGGTGTTTTTTCACACAACAAATAATTAAATACTACTGTCACCAGATCTGGTGAAGCCCAATTCAGACGGTTTTTTAAACTCAAGAGGACTGGACTATCTTGGCAGGATTCAACCTTTGTTAAGTGCTCTTCCAATCTCAAGAACTTTATCACCACTTTTATCACTTTATTGATTTATAACATTTTAGTTTGGTTTTGCTGAAAGATAAAGCTGTAAAACTATAAAACAAACAATAACATCAATAAAATAGTTAGAACACCAAAACAGGATTGTTATAACATGAAAGAACTGCATAAAATGAAACAATAATAAGCTCAGTCAAAATCAAGAAAAACAGACATATTTGTGTAGATACTAAAAATGCTTAAATGTGGTGCCCATTATAAATGAACAGGAAGGGAATTCCACAATCAGAACATTTGCATTGTGAATATGCTTTCTAGGGTTATTGCATAACAAAAATTTGGCAAATGCCATATTTTGAAGGATACATGAGGCATAACTTACAGTATAGAAGGGTAGTGCCTTAAAGAGGCCTCTTTACATATACCAATCCTCTGGATCGTCAATTTTCTCAATTTATTTATAGTGCTAATCCAGTTGGCGTATGTTTTTTCTTCACCAACCATAGAATAGAATAGAATAGAATAGAATAGAATAGAATAGAATAGAATAGAATTCTTTATTGGCCAAGTGTGATTGGACACACAAGGAATTTGTCTTTAGTGCATATGCTCTCAGTGTACATAAAAAGACAAGATACATTCGTCAAGAATCATAAGGTACAACACTTAATGATAGTCATAGGGTACAAATAAGCAATCAGGAAACAATATCAATATAAATCGTAAGGATACAAGCAAGAAAGTTGCAGTCATGCAGTCATAAGTGGGAGAAGATGGGTGATAGGAACGGTGAGAAGACTAATAGTAATAGTAATGCAGCCTTAATGAATAGTTGGAGTGAACCAACCAAGCAAAAAACAAATGCCTGCTTTTGGTCTGTTAGTTACCTTTATAGTAGCAAATTTTCCTTTATGCCCATGATTTAGTTTCATAAATCCTCCATGCTGCACGTGTTTGTTTACAAATAGTTAATAAGCAAGTGTGTGCATAAACAAGAGGACATTTAAAAATCCTTCCTGTTACTTGATCAGATGAGATGGCGGGGGGGAGGGAACCCAGCCTGTGATAACGTGGGAGGAGAGACAAGTAGATCTGCAATGTGAAATAATTTGGAAAGTGTTGCTGTCTTTATTGATGCCATAACTGAATATTTTTCTTGGAAAATCTCGAAATTAGCATGGGTTTATATGCTTTAAGCAAATTGTGCTTATGGACTAAGAGCACCAGATGGTGCTGTTGGCATGGTATCCAGGAGTTTTTAATTGCCATCTGGTTTCAAGCTCAGAATTTTCCTTTATCCACATTTCAGTATAATTTTGCTGAACTGAATCTTCTGCACAGCATATCAAATTAACATACTAGTACTTGCATTCCTTGCACTTCCAAAAAGAAAGAAGCGCAAACAAGTATTGAAACTGCTTTATTACAGGTTGCTTATTTAGCATATGAGTTTCTATTTCTTTAACATTTTAAAGATAAATCCAAATCCCACAGAAGTTAATATAAGGGTCGGAATGGGGAGGCAACTATCAGAATGATCAATAATTAACCAAATACAACCTTAAGAAAAATAGCTGAAGGGTGATTTAGGTTAGTAATTCCATACACTTTATGTTTACTTAAAAGTAAGTCCTATTGGATTTAATTAGATTGTTTCCAGAGAAAATTTTATAGGCTGGAAGCCAGACTTTGGTCTTTTGGTCTTTTGCAATATTATATTAATTGACTAATTTAATTTATAAGCTATCCCACCTCAGAATAAATGAATGAATGAATGAATGAATGAATGAATGAATGAATGAATGAATGAATGAATCTGAATATCATATTTCATATGAAATGATCAAGCTGTGGCTGCAAGCTTATAGGTACTTTTTTGGAGTAAGCTAATTAAAGCCAATTGCCTAATAATAATAATAATAATAATAATAATAATCATAATCATAATCATAATCATAATCATAATCATAATCATAATAATTTTATTTATATACCGCTCTTCTCCCGAAGGACTCGGGGTGGTGTACAGCCAGAGTTAAAACATAAATATACAGATACCATGGTTAAAATTAATTAAAATTATTAAATAGTTTTGGCCGAATTTTAAAACCCAAAATTAAAACCCAATTTAAAATCATTCAGTTAGACAGCCCTGCCTGTTGGAACAGTAGGATCTTGAGGGCAGAGTGGAAGACCCGGAGGTCAGAGATGTTACGAATGTCCAGGGGCAATTCATTCCAAAGGGCAGGCGCTCCGACAGAGAAGGCTCTCCTCCTGGGTGTCGCGAGCCAACATAACTTGGCCGACGGTACCCTGAGTAGTCCGTCTCTGTGGGAGCGAACTGGTCGGTGGGAGGCTGTTGGTGGCAGAAGGCGGTCTTGTAGATACCCTGGTCCTGTACCATGGAGAGCTTTAAAGGTGGTAACCAACACCTTGAATTGCACTCGGAAGACCACTGGGAGCCAGTGCAGCTCACGCAGGAGAGGTGTTACATGGGCGTAACTAGGTGCGCCCATAACCACCCGCGCGGCCGCATTCTGGACCAATTGGAGCCTCCGAGTGCTCTTCAAGGGGAGCCCCATGTAGAAAAGTGTTGCTTACTGTGTTTCTGTCTAGAACAGGGTTGTCAAAGTCCTGGCCCGTGGGCCAGATGCGTCACGTGCTAGCCACGCCCATACCTGGTTTAGCGATGGGGGAAAAAGTCCCGATACATCATGTGATGCTGCCATGACGACATGAGTTTGACACCCCTGGTCTAGAGCTTTTCAGTTGAGTATAATCTAAAAT